CACCTCACCCACGCCCCCACCCTCGCTTTCCCCGATTTTACCACCGATTTTATTTTGGACACCGACGCCTGCAGCAGCGGGCTGGGCGCGGTGTTGTCACAGGTACAGGATGGGGCGGAACGAGTCATCGCGTACGCCAGCCGGACCTTGAGTGGGGCCGAGCTGAACTATTGCGTGACCCGCCAAGAGTTGTACGCCGTGATTTTCGCATGCAAACAGTTCCGACCGTATTTGTACGGCAGGAGATGTCGCGTACGCACTGACCATTATGCTCTGCAGTTTCTTCTTACATTCAAGGAGCCGCGGGGGCAGATGGCCCGGTGGTTGGCGCAGTTGCAGGAGTACAACCTGCAAATCGAGTATCGGGCTGGCCGGACGCATGCAAACGCGGACGCCTTATCGAGGCGACCCACGGTGTACGCCGAGACGAGGGCGGAGGAGGCCTGCCCGTGTTTCACGGCGGGACGCTGCCGGCAGGCAACGGACCCCCGAGAGGCCGCGGCCACTGACCCCCCCCCAGCGAGGGAGAGTGCAGTGTGCGCCACAGAAACCCTCACAGGTGGCACTGAGGATCCCGTCGACCGCCCGGCAAGCGCGGGACCCGCGGCTCGGGACCCGATCGGACGGATCCAGGAGGACGTCGGCTGCGCCTTCCCGGGCCTAAACGACGAGCAGCTGAGACAGACCCAGCAGCGAGATCCGGATCTGGCGGCAGTGGAGGCGGCACTGCGGGAGGAAAAGAGCGCCCTACCAGGACCCTGGAGCGGTTTGTATGCCCGGTTGTGTGTGCGGAACGGAGTGGTACGGGAGTTAACCGAGGCCGGCCAGCCGGGGGGCATCTGTGTTCCTGCCCAGGTGCGACCCCAGCTGCTACGGCTGGTGCATGACCACCCACTCGGGGGCCATGATGGGGAACGGCGCACCCGGGAGACCCTGCGTCGCCAGTATCTCTGGCCCAAATTGGCACAAGATGTGGCCGCCTGGGTGCAGGGCTGCCGGGCCTGTCAGCAGTGTGGGCAAAAGCCGGCGAGGTACCAGGTACCCCTGAGGCCGTTCCGAGTCAGTCGGACGAATCAGTTGGTCGGAATCGACCTGCAGGGGCCCTTTCCACGATCCCACCGGGGCAACCGATATATTCTCGTAGCGGTGGAATACTTCACCCGCTACCCCGTGGCGGTGGCTATCCCAGATAAAACAGCCCTTGTAGTGGCCCGGGCCTTCGTGGAAAACTATGTACTTAAGTGCGGGATCCCCGAACGAGTCATTACCGACCAGGGTAGTGAATTCGAGGCCGAATTATTTCAGGCGCTGTGCCGAGAGTTCGGGATCCAGAAGGACCGAACCACGGCGTATCACCCCCAGGCGAACGGGATGGTAGAGAGGATGAACCAGACTCTGGCCGGGAAGCTTAAACGCATGGCGGCCGCGAATCAACAGGACTGGGACGAACACCTTCCCTATGCCCTGTTCGCCTACACCACCGCCGTTCACACCTCTACAGGACAGACCCCGTTCCTAATGATGTTTGGTCGCGAGTCTCGCCTGCCCGCAGATCTGCTGTTCGGTGTTCCTCCGCCGCAACGGGAGGAAGGGAGCCACCCCGTGGAGCACTTGCTGGAGACCCTGCGAGGGGCCAGGGGCCGAGCCTGCCCGCACGGAGAGGCCGCGCACCAGCGGCAAGAGCAGGGCGCCCGACCCCGTATGGAGCCCCCCTTCTACACTGCGGGCTCCGAGGTGTGGCTGTACACTCCCCGCGTCGGTGCCGGACAGGTGGGGAAGCTGACCACCTACTGGCGAGGACCCTGGATTGTGAGACGGCAGATCTCACCATGGACGGTGCTGATTCAGGGAGGAGAGAGGGGCCGGGAGATGGTGGTCAACATCCGCCGACTGAAGCCGTGGCGAGCAGCCCCCGAGGGGGGGAGCCCCGCCGTCCAAGTACCCCGAAACCCCGGGGTCCCCCCACCCCCCGTGCCCGGGGGCCTCGCGCAGTACATGGGCCCCACGGAGCCCCGGGCTCCGAGGGGCCCCGGGCGGGGCCGGGGGCGACGAGGACGGCGACCCTTAAACCCCACCGCCTCTGAGTTTGTTCCCCAGCCCGCAGGTGCCAGAGGCCGAGGGGAGCCGTTGGAATGGAGGAGGAGACCACCGCCGGAGCCCCAGGAGACGGAGCCGCCACCCCCGAGGCCAGCCACAAGGGCCGGGCGAATCCCGCGGACCCCGCGGCGATACCTCGTGGGGGCAACCCAGGCGAGGTGCTCCAGTCAACCCGGGACGGGGACTGGCACCCCGGGGGGCTATGTGGTGCCACAACGACGGGGCCGCTCTGCCGAACCAGGGAGCCGCCCGGCTTCCCCCACCGCACTGCCCCCCATCACCCGCCCCACATAAGCACACACCCGCACGCATCCCCCCCCCCCCCCCATAGAGCTGGAAGGGAAGGTTACCTGATCGACCGGTTTTTATCCGAGAGACCCTTATCGGGATTAATTCTCACGGTTTCCGGCGATCAGGGAATTGGATGACCTCCCCCGTGCTACGTGGTACCGCGGCGCTGCTGCCGGCCTTAATATGGTGTGGTCGCGGCGTGGGGCATTCGGCCACCGCGGTTGAGGCGCATTTCCCCCCACACACACCCCCACGAGTCGACGGGGCAAGCAGGGGAGGCACGAGACAGCATGAATAGCGGGGTCACAGGGGCTGTTGCGCATAGTCATGGAGGGTTGGGATAATTGCGCTTGAGCGCGCAAGCCCCATTGGTAGGAAGGGTAAGGGAGTAATTAGGATTTACGCCTTGCACGCAGCACACTGATTAGCATATCAACAGCGCCTGGGGACTGCCGTGCGCGGGCTTGGGGTGCACGAGCCCATTGTTCAGCGCAGCATCCCCTTTGGGAGGTAGGGAGGATAAATAGAGGAGCGCAGAGGGGAAATCGCTCTCTTCTCTCCAGGCCAGCGGACCAGCAGGACTTCCAGCCAGCGACCCGGACGTCCGTGCGACGCATCGAGGTACGCTGTTAGCGCAGAGAGCAGCGAACCTCCGCGGGCACCAAACAGTGAGTGGGGAGGTGAAGTAGGGTATCGTAAGCCGATAAATAGGGAATAGGTACAGGTTTAGTGGAATAGGCCAGCCTCGTCGACTCACTGATTCCACATCAATTCGCAGGTGGCATATAATAAATCATTAATAGCGAAGCGTGGTCTCGCGTGATCTTGTCGTGCAGTGTGAGCGTGTGGGAACGCGTGTGGTACTGTGTGTGCGTAAGCTCGCAGCGTGCGTAATCGGCGTCCCCCAGGTGCGCGATCATAGCGTAATCGGCTGCGCATTGTTGTACGGTTTATCTCGCGCGCACGGCGGCGGCGACTTTAGTCGTTGTGTCGGCGTGTGCCCCGCTTGCGTGTGCTCGTTACGTGTTATAAGTGTGAACGCGTGTAGTACGGTGTAGGCGTAAGCTCTCGTCGTGCGAAATCGGCGTACCCCAGGTGCGCGATTGTAACGTGAGCGGCCAGCGCGGCGCAGAGAAGCGCAAGAGTGAGTGCCGTACGGAGCTGTGTGTGTGGGTGTGCGCGTACGTAATTAACCATGCCTGCTACGCGGACCCGCGGTGGAGTGGAATCCTCGGGCGACGGCTCCCACCCCATGGGTGAGGAACTTAGCAGCGGTTCGCTTAGCAGCGGGGGGGCGATTGATGATGCTAGCCCGGCCGTTAACATTATCGAGGGAGGGATCTCGGGGGCTAGCGACCCCTACAACAGCTATAGAGTTACATAGAGACTCACAGAGTGACACAGAGATCCATAGAGTTACACAGAGCCATAGAGCTACATAGAGACTCACATAGTGACACAGAGATCCATAGAGTTACACAAAGCCAGAGTTACACAGAGACTCACAGAGTGACACAGAGATCCATAGAGTTACACAGAGTCATAGAGTTACATAGAGATCCATAGAGTCACACAGAGAGCCAGAGTTACATAGAGACTCAGAGTAACATAGAGTTACAGAGAGCCATAGAGTTACATAGAGACTCACAGAGTGACACAGAGATCCATAGAGTGACACAGAGATCCATAGAGTTAGACAGAGCCATAGAGTTACATAGAGAATCAAGAGATCACAGCGCAACGCCGTGAGTAGTGGCATCAGTTACAGGAGATTGCAGGGTGGAAATGCGCAAACTTAATTTTAAGCAAAAAACAAACGCCAACATTTACACTCTTATTTATTTATTTAACACGCGTACGGGTTACACATCTGTAAATTGGCTTATTCGTGTTCATCAGCACGATTCGGTCTCTGCGTGAAAAAAATCAAACATAGTTTACCAATTACAAATCACAAAGCGGGGTTGGGGGGGATCTCAAAGGGCCACGTTGCTTACCTGACACGAAGATCGGGAACCAGGCACACCAAGGTCTACAAAACGCCACGCGCACCACGTGACGCTTCAAATGATTAACGCAACTTTTATTGAACCGGGTTAAAGTTGGCCCCTTTATATTTTTGCAAGCATAGATTAAGATCTGTGCGGGTCTGACGCAGGTTCTTTGCGGGGCTACAACTCGATGTTGAACCCTTATATTTGGTGGTTGGTGGTGGTGGGGGGGGGCAGCGTTGGCAGTGATGCGCACAATTCGGCATCACCGATCGCCACCATTGGATGCCACGGTAGCCAGGAAATGCTAACTCCCTCGCCTGGTATGCAGGAGTTCGTGGGTTAGATCCCTACCCTGAGGACGCCTGCTGCTGTATATTTGGAGTTTCCGTGTCTCTCATCATCATCACGGTGGCCAGGAGATGCTAACTCCCTCGCCTGGTATGCAGGAGTTCGTGGGTTAGATCCCTACCCTGAGGACGCCTGCTGCTGTATATTTGGAGTTTCCGTGTCTCTCATCATCATCACGGTGGCCAGGAGATGCTAACTCCCTCGCCTGGTATGCAGGAGTTCGTAGGTTAGATCCCGACGCCTGCTGCTGTATATTTTGGAGTGGTGTACCTCTGTCTCTTGCTCTCTCCCCGTGGTTGCGTGGAATTTTCTCCAGGTCCTCCGGGTTTGTCCCTCCACATTATAAAAACAAGCGCTTAAGAGTAATTTTTGGCTGCTATGCATTTCCGCACGATAAGCCACTTCTCGTTGGGCTTTCATTTGTGGCCAGGTCGCTTCTGAAAAGGTGCTCTACAGCTCATTGGAGCCTTACATGATAAAATATCTTTAAAATGTAGTAATAGTTTGAATAGCAACACCGTGTGCGTTGAATTTCCTTCGTACCCTACGTAGCCAACCATGCTAATCGGTAAGGACACCAAACTAAACACAAAAAGCCAGTACGACCCTTCTTCATTGCACATCATCGTCACCTATTTATGCTGCTGCTACTGTCCTTTGAAGGCCACGTGCTTTAGGGAGTCTCCGTGGACACACGCGGAGTTGTCAAATCCACTGCTGGATGAGCACTCCCGAACCCCCCCTCCCCCCCCCGACGAAAAGCCGTTCTCGTCGTGGGGAAAACATTTGACCATACTTCACCACGCTGGTCGGCGCGGGTTGTCGGAAGGCCCGGAGCCCAGACACGTGGGATCGTGGAGCAGCAGTCCACCAAATGAATTCAACATCTGAACCTCGTGGCGGGACCGCCGGGGGTCCCTTAAGCCCCCGGCTCTCGCATCGACTGCGCTGCGACATCATTCTGTCTGTCGAAGGCGAACGACACGGCGATCTGTCCCTCTCGACGAGCTCTACACGATGCGCTCATCAAAGTGTCACAGTTGTGTTTCTCCTGCGCATTCGTCCTCGCTGCTGCTGCGCTTGGACACGACACGCCAGAACGATCTGCGCCAGGCGCGGTGGGACGGAGTCGACAACAATCAATTACGATTTTGACTTCCGTTTATTCGGGGACCCCGGGATCCCGCCATGAGGTTCATCGTGTTTATTACTCGCTGCAGTTCATCTCCTGCGCGCCCACCCATCAGCACGTGTCGTGTGCTTGATTGATGAAAGGCCGTAATTATACTATATATTGGGTGGGGGGGGGGGGGACACAACCCCCCTCCCCAATATATATTTATATACATTATAATTACGACCACCCCCCCCCCCCAATATTCAAATATGCTGAAAATGTCCCCCCCAATATATTGCTATAAAAAATAATTGCAATGCTATGTAAATAAAAACAATTTGCCCACAATATCTGGACTTGTCTTCATATAAATCAATGCAGATTTCTGTTTATATGATTGTGGTTATGGTTGTACTTTAACACATTCCTGCGGAGGGAGCTGGTAGTAACGTTAGGTTGCTCGGTCAATGGCCAGGGTCAATGGCCAGGGTTCTGATATTCACGCGCCACCACCTACGTTGGCACGTGGCTAATGTTCGAACTCAGCTTAGGAGGTTCATTGCGACCAGAATTTTTATTTTTAAAAATAAAATAAAACTTAACATATGGACAGCGGACGCCGCCGCGTCCATCCGGCCCACGTGTTTCGCGCCCCACGTGGTGCGACTACTTACCCAGAGCAGGAAGTCCGGGTCCCAGTGACGTCATGTTGGCAACGCCCCCGAACTCCCTCGTGGTCACGTGGCCACGAGGGAAGGCGGGGCTGCAGGGAAACCACTGCTCGGGCCCGTCCCCTTTGCAGCCCCTCCCCCACTGCCCAGCCCCACCCCCTTATTAGCCCCTCCCCCCAATGCCTAGCCCCGCCCCCTTCACAGCCCCCCCCCCAGACTGCCCAACCCCGCGCCCCCCCCCAACGGCCCCTACCGCCACACCCCCAAGCGGGATTTCAAGGTTCAGGTTTCAAGTCGATTTTGTTGCACCAGACAAGTCAAGGCACAGTAGCCTCGTTTGCCAGCGTGACCTGCATGAATGAGTGAGTTAGTGGGTGGGTGAGTGGGTGAATGAGTGAGTGGAGGAGTGAGTTGATCAGTGGGTGGGTGAGTGAGCGAGTGAGTGAGTGGCTGAATCGGTCTCCGTTTGATTTAGTGTGTGGGTGAGGAAGTGAATGGATGTGTGGGTGAGTGAGAGAACGGGTGAATGAGTGGGTAGATGAGTGAGTGAGTTGGTCAGTGGGTGGGTGAGTGGGTGAGTGAGCGGTGACGTGATTGAGTGAGTTCCAATTTAACCAGGTGAGAGTCATGGTTAGTGTCAGTCTTAGCTTAAGGGCTAGTGTTAAGGTCCAATGTTAGGTAATAATCAGTGCTAGGTACGGGGATAGTGCTGTACTATTACGATCAAGGTAAGGGTCAAAGCTCATGTTCGTTTACGGGTAGGATCAGTTGGAATGCTCGGGTCAGTGCTAGGGGCCATTGCCAGGGTCAGAGTTGGGGTCAGTGTAAGGTCATGAGGAGTCAGGGTTAGGGACAGTGTAGGGTCATGGTCGGGGTCAGTATAGAGTCAGGGTTGGAGTCAGGGTCAGTGTAGGGTCATGGTTAGAGTCAGGGTCAGTGTAGAGTCATGGTTGGGGTCAGTGTAAGGTCATGGTTGGGGTCAGTGTAGGGTCATGAGGAGTCAGGGTCAGTGTAGGGTTAGGGTTGGGATCAGGGTCAGTGTAGGGTCAGGGTCGGGGTCATGGTCGGGGTCTGTGTCTCAACGTGCTTCGTTGCTCACGCACAATGGGGGAGTGTGGGAGGGGAGGGGAGGAGGAGGGGAGGGGCGGTGAGGGGGAGGGGAGGGGCGGTGAGGGGGAGGGGAGGGGCGGTAGGGGAAGCAGGGGGGGGGGGTCACCGTCAACTCCGGGCTCATTCCGCCACCGCGTCCCGTCGGCGGTGACGTAACCTCGGCGTTACGTCACCGCGTGTCCGCACACGGGGGCGACGGCGTGGATTGCGGGGTGATGCGGGGGTTTGATAGTTGGGGGGGCGGCGGGGGGAGGGAGAATGGGGGATGAGCGGGGGGTGAATGAGAGTGGGGGGAGTAAGTGGGGGGAGGGGGGGAGTAATCGGGGGGCGGGGTGGAGAGGTGAGGTCAGAGTGGGTGACTTGAGTTTGTCAAAGTGGATGCACGCAAAGACAAAGATACCTCGTAGGGCCTTCACAGCCATTGGGGAAAGTGCTATTAGCCAGGACCTATGAAGGCCAGCACGGCTCACGAGGGGGTGGGCAGCTACGTTTACAGATAATGTATACAAAGACAACGACGCGTATACCCCATCGTACACGACGTACGCACACCTGCGTGCACTCATGTTCCATACCTGTGCAGCACTGACTCGTACAACCACAAGGGCGCCCATTCAGTACACACGCACACACCTGCGCGCACTTACACAAAGATCAGCCCGTACTGTATAGTCTTCATAGACGTTTGGGACAAGTGCTACTAGCGAGCAACTATGAAGGCCGGCATGGCACATGAGGGGATAGGTGGCCAGCAGCACGCCGGCCGCCTTTGTCTCCCTCGTAGCGATGTTTGCACACCGCAACAGGTACTAATTTGAGGCTGAGTCGACTTAGGCGATGGCCCAGGACCGGTTAAGATAATCGTCAGTGGCGTTGGCCTTGAGCCGGAATCGAACTCGGGTGGCCGGGTTCGTCTAGCACCGTGCTAACCGCTGCGCCACCGCTCCCCAGAGCCGCAAAGACAAAGATCCCCCGTATAGCGCAGTCACACAAAGGCGAGTGAGCATCAGCGTGCAGCAACCTCGCAAGGCATTCTAAAAATCCAACGCTCACTTTTTAAATTATTTTGTTTTGTGCGTTCGAGAATGTCTACGCGCTTCAGTTGGTGAAATGTGAAGAATGATGACTCCCCGTGGTTTTAGGCTTACACCAGCAGCTCGTTAACCCATGGCAGCTACAGCACGGCTAGTTTGGGTAGAATCGCGGATGTTGCAATGGAATGGATGAGAAATGTAAAGAGGGACGGGGGAGGGAAGAAAGGAGAAATAACGGGGAATGAGAGAACAGGAATGGAGAAGGAAGGAGGCAAGAGGGTTCGGGATTACATGAGGAGAGGGAGGAGGGAGAGGCCGCATCAGGGCCTCGACACTGCTGCTGCGTGGAGGGGGAGCGGTGTCTGTTTTCAGAGTGGGCGGGGAGAGGGGAGCGGTTGAGAGTGGGAGTGGCCACACGGAAGTCACGTGATGTACGGGAGGCTCCAGCTGACTTGGATCGATAGGCATGATGAAAAGTAGGAATAGGTTTAACCTTTTCTGGCAATAGAACAGGTGTGAAGATGTTCAAACACCCAATGGATACCTTTTTCAAGGCATCAAGTCCCATCGGTAGGCATGTATGTTGAACTTCTTTCGCACCGTACGTAGCCGACCGTGCCAATCAGAGACGTGTACGATGAAGGTGCCAGAGCTGTCTGCGAGCACCTATTAAGGTCCACGTGGCACACGTAGGCGGTGAGGACAGGAAAGACAAAGATTGCCCCGACGTGTAACCTCCAAAGACTGCCGGGGCAAGTACTGATAGTGGGCAGTATTAGTACAAGGGCCATCGTGTTAGTAGGAGTGTTAGTGCCAAGGTTAGTGTCAGGGTTAGTGTCATGGTCAGGGTGAGTGTCAGGGTTAGTGTCAGGGTTAGTGTCAGAGTTAGTGTCAGGGTTAGTGTCAGGGTGAGTGTCAGGGTTAGTGTCAGGGTGGGTGTTAAGGTTAGTGTCAGGGTTAGTGTCAGGGTTAGTGTCAGGGTTAGTGTCAGGGTGAGTGTCAGGGTTAGTGTCAGGGTGAGTGTTAGGGTTAGTGTCAGGGTTAGTGTCAGGGTTAGTGACAGGGTTAGTGTCAGGGTTAGTGTCAGGGTGAGTGTCAAGGTTAGTGTCAGGGTGAGTGTTAAGGTTAGTGTCAGGGTTAGTGTCAGGGTTAGTGACAGGGTTAGTGTCAGGGTTAGTGTCAGGGTTAGTGTCAGGGTTAGTGTCAGGGTGGGTGTCAGGGTTAGTGTCACGGTTAGTGTCAGGGTTAGTGTCATGGTTAGTGTCAGGGTCAGGGTTAGTGACAGGGTTAGTGTCAGGGCTAGTGTCAGGGTGAGTGTTAGGGTTAGTGTCAGGGTTAGTGTCAGGGTTAGTGACAGGGTTAGTGTCAGGGTTAGTGTCAGGGTTAGTGTCAGAGTTAGTGTCAGGGTTAGTGACAGGGTGAGTGACAGGGTGAGTGTCAGGGTTAGTGTCAGGGTTAGTGACAGGGTGAGTGTCAGGGTTAGTGTCAGGGTTAGTGTCAGGGTGAGTGTCAGGGTTAGTGTCAGGGTTAGTGTCAGGGTTAGTGACAGGGTTAGTGTCAGGGTTAGTGTCAGAGTTAGTGTCAGGGTTAGTGTCAGGGTTAGTGTCAGAGTTAGTGTCAGGGTGAGTGTCAGGGTGAGTGTCAGGGTTAGTGACAGGGTGAGTGTCAGGGTGAGTGTCAGCGTTAGTGACAGGGTTAGTGTCAGAGTTAGT